TCGGGACGAATGCAGATTTTTCGCTCATGTTGTTACAGTTTCTTGCGCGGTTACATTTCTTAAGTTCTCGCTGCCTTGAAGCCAAACTCAAATTCACTGGTCTCTCCGTGGAGTCACGCCGCCTCTGCTTCACTTTCAGTCTGATCACACCTTTAGCCTCAGCGGTAGCATCGAGAACGACTTAGCAGCAGCAGACTTCATCACAGAACCAATCAATAGCCCTGCAGATGACAGCACGGTGGCATGAGCATGAGAACAGGGTGTTTTACACGGTGGGAGAAAGTCCAACAGGAGTGGCCCAGACAAATCAATACTGTGATAGCTAAAGATTTGAAAGGAGGCGCTGAGTCAGCAGAAGGTTTTTGTGTCTTTTGTGTGAAAATCTAGTCAAACTGAAATTGATTGACAGAGAAGACAAATGTCTGATGATTTGGAGCCAGATGCGTAATGTGTCATAGCTGTTTGGGAGTGGCAGTGCTCGCAGTGTAAAACCGAGGCTTTGTCCTAGTTGGTTTCAGCTGTGTTTCCAGATGACAGGACTCTCTCTCTGAACGGGAGTCTGTCCGAACCAAACTGGCATTTCTTCTAAAAAAAATTTTTATTTCTTGTTTCCCTGATTTAAGTCTGCTCTGGTTTTCCAGCCAGTCTGATGTTTGTTTGACATGAAGTGTTAGCGGCCACCACCTACTTTACTCCCTGAACTCACCCTTTAAACAAACTTTGCAGGAGTAACACAGAGTAGTGATGAGGTGTTGAGAGACTTTCCCATTCATCGAAACCAGATCCAGTGAAAGTGTCAATAGAGATATGAAATAAATGTCAACAGTGCTGGTCTCATGTTGTAGCTTGGGGCCGTCACGGTTCTCGTCCCATCTGGTATTTCTGCCAGTTCCATGTTTTCATTTTCACTAAACTCTCATGTCATTTCAGACCCGGCCCCTCCCCTCTGCCCGGTTGTCCCGCCTGCTGGCCGCTCAGCCTCTGCACAAATGTGTTCCCATTTACGTAATTATCCCTTCTGTATATATACAGTACTCTACCCCCCTGTTTCTACTCACCAACTGTCAGATTGTTTATGTGCTCATTGCCAGGTCTGTAGACTTTTGTTTGCCTGACTCCTGTCTTTGAGTGTTTCCCTGCCTGCTTGACTACAATGCTGCTGACACCCCTTAGTAAAAAGAGCATACGTCGCTCCGCTGCTCATTGACGTCCTCGGCCACCCGAATCTGATTCAAGTCACTAATCCTTGCCTTCAGAGTGACTTCTGGGTCTGCTCCCGTCTACTTGAACTCAATCATTCAGCCTTACGCTCCTTCTCGGCCACTGCGTTCCTCCAAGGAATGTTGTCGGGCATTATCGTCCCTGCGCACGAGGCAATCTCAGGCCAGGATGTTCTCGTATGCACTTCCTTTACCTGATCTCCTTGCACTTGTTGAATAGATGTAGCACTTGCTATTTACACCAAAGGTCTGCCAAATGAGTAAATGTAGATATGTGTCAGATTACATGGAGAGTGAAAGCAGAGTCAGCTCCTGCTGAAGCAGGCGGCTCAGTCTTGGCAAAAACGGCTCGATTTGCTTTTTTCTCATTCAGTCAGTGGAAGTGTGAAACACTGACGTGCATCTGAGGGAGAGATAATATCAAAACTATTTGCAGGGGGTTTAATATAACCTCAGAACTGTGAGTAAACTGGCGCATCACTTGAGAATGTTTGTAACTTTGGTCTTTTGCCACGTCTGGAAGATTGTACAAAAACTTTTTTTTTTCCTTTAGCTCAAGTTACCCCACCCACAAAGATACTATTGTTGATTTTGTCTAATATTTGCATTTTTTGTGTGTGTTTTTATTACGTACAAGTTTCAAAGAAAAAGTCCCTGACCTTATCTGGGGCATCTCTGATTTCATTCATTGTTATTCTCCTGTGCAAAATGTGGTTCATGACATGCAGAGGGCTGAGGCAGAACTGATGAATTACAAGATGTCCAACACTTTTGCCTTTTGCTAATCTCTCCCTAAAAAGATTGCTGGCTTATCGTGCCGGTCCCCTGTCATTTAAAGACAATTAGTTTTGGCTAGCAGTAGAAGCCAGGCGGAATTGAATTACATCCCATCTGCCCTTTACATGGTGCTTTTCCTTCGGCCTTTCCTGCTGTTGATGGATCATTGTTCCATTCTCTTCCTGTTGTGGCTCTGTTTGATAAATATGAAGCAACGGGAAGAATTAGAGTGGTGGAGCCTCCCTTGAAGATTTGAAATGACTGATCTGAATCAAAAAAAAAAAAAACAGCAAGCATGCTCATGAAACCCCTTGTGCTTAAATAAACTACAGAGCAAAATCCTGTTGTACTGGTTGAAGTGCCTGAAGATTAGACATGGCTCGGCTCTCACCATGATCTTTTTATCCCTCCCCATTTGTGAAACGCTTTATTCACTAAAGAGGAGGTTCACTCTCAAGGTTGCTGAAATGTTTTTGGGTTGGGCTCCAGCTGGCCCTGAACTCCATTAAGAGGAGCACTGTGGGTATGTTGTGTAATATAATCAGATTAGCACAGAAAAGTGATAGGAGGTCAGCCAAATGAATGACAACTGTTAATGTACAAATACAGCTCCATTAAGAATCTAAAGGATGAGATCACAGGCCTGCAAGCAGCCATGGGAAAGAACTTCCTTGTAGTTTCCTTGTAAACAAAAGTTGCGCTTACTTTCAGTGTTCCTTACTTAAAAAACATTGTGTGTATCTGTGTCAATGAAATAGCATGCAGCTGACGGCGGGAAGCACGCTGCCTGCATGGTTGTGCAGTTTTGTCCTCATGCACAACACATGCATGAATCTAACCAAACAAGTAAAACAACATTGCTCCGTATTGCTACCTTTGGTCAAAAGGCAAAAAAGGATTGTCATCAAAGATACTCATTAATTATCACAGCTTATAAGATAGACTTTGATTGAAGTGTAACTATTCCAGCGTTTCTATGCACCTAGCAGCATAAGAAACATGACTGACCTCATCCTTACTAAGACATCAGTTTAAAGAGTTGTAGACAGATCAATGCATCTGCTATTTAGCAATGCCGCTGACACTCAGGGTTTCTTTACACCACTACATGTCATGGTGATGGAACAAAGTCTATCAGATTACTGCACATACAGGTCTTGACATTCAGATCAAGATGATATCTGATATTTTTCAAAATGAAACCCAACCGTCAGAAAATAGTTGCATCGCGGCTTCACCCAACGTAAACAACGTGATGATGTTTTGATAGCGTTGAATCACTTTCCCTGCGTGTCACTGCAGCATCAACTGGTCATGCATGACAGCCAAAGATTTGTCTTCCTCACAGCAACTAAAAGTTGGCTGATGGCCAGATTCAAGATAGCACCTGATGATGTCGCTGGAGGTCCAAAAAGTGCTGCTCAGGCCGTTTAAAGAAGGATTAAAAGATTATAGTTTGTCATTTTCAAAAAAGTCCCAGTCATGTGTGTGAAAGGAGCCTCTGTTCATTTCAAGAATAATGTTTCCTGGTTGTTGTTGTCAGATTGTCATTATTAACACTACTCAATTCATTCATTCTTTCATTCTTTTGTTCATTAAAGGTCCCATATAGTATAAAGGTCTGTGTCCATGTGTAGTGTGATTATTGATCAGGTCTAGGTTCTATATTAATACTGTGAAAGTATCAAAGCCTCAGTCCACAGAGAAATGCACACAGCCTGTATTCAGAAACTGAGCCTTAAAACCAGCCGTCAGGACTTCTGGAACTTTGTGATGTCACAACAAAGCAGTCACCAAGCCCCGCCCACCTGGACCCACCATCCAACCTTGCAGGATTTGGTTTCTCTGAGTGTTTTACCTGAAATCTGCTCTATTTTTATTGGATCACTCAGAAAACAGTCAGCCAATCAGAAGAGAGCTTCAGAGGCTCCTCTTTTCTGATTGGCTCACTGACCTGTTGTTACTAGAGCTCCAGAGAGAAGCCTGAGAGAGGAGATGTAAAACTACACTGAGATGGTTTTTGCTACTTAAAACCACTAATATATCTTCTTATGAATCAACACTTGAAATAAACACAGGATAAGTGTAAAACATGGGGCCTTTAATGTATTGTAATGTAAATTTAATCCAATTTGCATTTTTACTTTAATTTCCCCAGTTGGGTCTTTCCCTAGTGGCCCTTAGATGCATAGCAGTGTAATTACACCTGACCAAAAACAGACCCAGGAATACTTTGATTAAGAATTACTAATAATAATTACTTTTGCATGGAAGACAGTCATGGTAACCACTTGTTTTTTTCTTGCTGTGACAAGTCTAAATGTGTGCTGTGAAGACAGCCTATTGTCTCTTAACTGGTACATTCAACACTTCCATTGGTCCGTGTCAGCGCTACAGGAGTCTAAAGTTTCTCTTTTGGAGCAGCGGCATTTCTTTTCTTGTGGTATCAATTCTCTTAAACAGAGCATAAACATGTATTTAAAAACCCACATATTCAATTGCCTCTGACTGAGAAGAATTTCAGAGGCCCAGCGTGAGTGCCAATAAGTAATTCGAATGCCCGCGGATTCTCCATGTGTTGTTCTTGTGTCTCCGATTGGTTCCATCAGGTCCAATTAGACTTTTACTCAGACTTCAGACTCATAGCAATTTAGGACAGACATGAGCTGGATCCAAGGGACTGCCCCAAAAACCATGACAAAGCTGATAATTCACTCGTCAAAACAAGTGACCCGGCGCGTCCTCGTTCAGAGGCAGCGAGCCAGTGAACGCAGCGCTCCACTCAACATTCGCTGTAAAGTCTCTGTAAGTCGCAGCGTGTCATTGCTGACGTTCACGTTAAAGGCTGCTTTGTGTCTGTAATGTCACTCTCTGGGGGTTTGGGGAGACTGATAGAGACTTCAGTTTTATTAATTGAATTGTGCTTTTATTTCATGTTATTTATTTTATTACTATTGAATAAGATGTGACTAATTATCAAAATGTTCTTTTTTGCCTCTGCAGATTTGGATACGCCTCTGTGTCCATTTACTGCTGTTCATCACGCTTGGGGTACATTCAAGTAAATTTGACGTCAACCCAGTGACAGATGACATCTCTAGACTCTCTATTTTGGTAAGAGATTTCATTTTAATTAAAACATATTAAGTTAGCTTTAAAATAGAGTTGATTTCACAGGCTACAACATTCAGCTACAATGAATATCTGTTGTATTCAACAGATACTGTATATTTAATCTGCAAAGTGCAACATTTATTCCAAATACTTGCACATTATAGACACAAAAGTAAGAAAACAACAACAGATCAGATGATTACGCCTGTGTTACACCATTTTCATCCATATCAGGTCAGAATCATGGCTGCAACTACTGAACCAATTCTGGATCCAGGAGGATATACAGTACTATGGCTCATATTCATTTCAAAAACCTGGCACCAGCTGCTTTATTATCAGAGATAACATGTGCAAAGGTCAAAAAGTGAGAGTGAGAACACATAGGGCAGACAAAACAAAAAAAACAGACAGGAAATCAAACCTGGTTTATATCTGGATTATGATGTGTGTTTGCAGTTTTCTTAATTCCACACTCACGTTTATGTGCTGCAACATTTTTAGGATTGCAATGTGATTTGTCTGTAATTTAATATTTTCTTCTCATTTTTTCTTTTGCAGAGACAAAATATTCCTAAAGATTACAAAATTCCTGTACATTACATTCCAAAAGAAGAGGTAAGATATCGTTGGGGGGTGTTTTGTCTATCCTTTGTTTGTGATCAGACCAGAGACCAGATTTGTGTGACATTCACAGTTAAATTTTCTTAATTTTCAAGCGGGTATATCTTCTTCCTTAGCGACACCTTCATGCTAAATGCTAGCTCACCTTATAGCCAGTGTTCAGTGTGAAAACTGTGTCATCTGTCTCAGCTTTGAGGATTATTGGGTTTTGGTGGAAATGCACTTTATTGAGTAAATTCTTCTTGACATTTTGGTGTTGCTGATTTTGTGCCGCCGCTCTGCTCTTCTTCTTCTAGGGTGGGATGTGTTGGGTAAAATTAAACGTCTTCTACTTGGAGGAGAGTTTACAAGATTTAGCGCATAAGTTTGGAAACATTTCATCCAACAGAAAAGATATTAGCATATTCATCCAAATGCTCCAAGAACTGCGGCTCAACATGGGGTCTGTGGTAAGTTCGTCTCGCGGTCGGGCGACAGAACGTGTCCATTAAATAACCGATGGAAAACATTTCGTCACTGAATGCGTTCTTGTCTCTGCAGGAGCCGATCATGTACGATTTTGAGTGCCACTACAGGGAAGAGAGGTGGCAGACGGCGCGATACTTTGACTTTGTCAAAGACTTCCTTATAGCTGCACAGAATAGAGAAGATTCAGATGACTGTGATCCTCCTCCCTGTCCCACCACACCATACACAGTAACAGAAGAATATTTAAAAGGTAAGTATTTATTATATGTGGTGTTTAGGCCTGCTTGTTGTTAGTGTTGTGGCAACTTTATCATGTTGGTGACACTTAACTGGTTCTAGTTTTGCAGACAAATACCATCACTGTGAGGTGTGAGGTAACGTCAGTGAACTACAGTAGGTGTGTGTGCATCTGGGAATGGAATCAGTGTCGATGACTCATCATTTTCAGTCTGCGATTATCAAAAAATAAAGCTCTTTCTACTATTTGGCCAATAGGTGCAAGATTCAAATATTTGTGCATAAATCAATGCAGTTGAAGATGAAGATCAGCATCAATTATAAATTTTAATGACTATCACAAAATTCTTTTGGGAATCTTTCATTGTTGATTGTGAAAAGAAAAATAAATAAAAATGTTTACTCAAATAATCTCCTAAAACAAGCAATTTCTAAATAATAATACTTTACATTCATGCAGAAACATTTAGTCAATCGAACAATGATCAATTAAAGTCTTTATGAAGCAGAACCAGCAGAGGGAAGCTGGTTCCAGCCAATCAAAGCAACTTCGGACATTTAGCTGTGGGAATCTTTATGCTATTTGTCAACAATTATTAATTAGGGCGTCATTTTTAATGCATAATTGCGGCCGTACAGTTCAGTACTGCTGCATTAAAGGCTTTAGTAACGGACTTTGGTGCAGAGCTGGATGTGACTGCAGCCTGGGTGAGGATGTAGATATCTTTATCCGTTGCTGAGTCACGATCACCTGCAGGTGTGAAGGGAAATTGAGTCCCTGGAGTGTTTGGATTTAGCACTCTTGAGTTTGGATTTGTCTCTTCATGCTTCATGAGAAGGGTCAAGCCTCAACAACAACATTTTATTTGGCGAACAAAGTGCATCCTACAGGGTGTGGATAACCTTAGATAGTCCTCAGAACATTTGCTCAACATTTTTTCACATTAATACCAGCAGTAGCTCAAAAGTTTAGTTTGTCACTGTCGACAGATTTTTAGGGGGGGAAAAAAGTAGTTCCAATAAAATCTGTTCACCCCCTGTGGCTCCGGAATATCCAGAGAAACCAGAACATTGTTTCTGTTGAGACACATGAAATTAAAAAGTTGTTTTTAATGCTTCGAGCCCAACATTCAAATTCCCCCACGCTGCCATAACATGGTATGTTGCAGATGTGAAATGTCAGATGTGGATATCTCAAAACCTCGGGAAATTAATCCAAATTACCTGCATGTATTTATACCGCCAATGATGAGTGAGAAAATATATATTTTTATGGAGTTAACCGACTCCTCTCGGTGTTTTAAGTGTTTTTACTGTAAGAAAAAACAAAAAAAAACATTAGAAAAGGCCGCCACCCTCTTTGGACTATTGTGAACGGGCTCTATTTAGGACAGATCTCTTGTGGCCGCTTGGAGAAGCTTTTAATCCAGGAACCATTATTTCTTCACAAGAACTTTGCAAGATAAAAAACTCAAAACCGTCTCAGTGCTTGGATGGCCCGTGGAGACACGGCTGAGTCACAGGACTGAGGGAAGATGTCCCCAGGCAGCGCATGTGAAAAGGAAGAAAGAGCCGAAACCGGATTGTATACGTGTTGATTACAGAGCAATCTTCCAATCTTCCCAAGCGCTTGGCTTTTCTTTGCTGGAGTGGTCGGATCAGATCTTTTGTGTGTGTGTGAGTGTGTGTGTGTGTGTGTGTGTGGGGGGGGGGGGGTGGGGGGGGGTAAAAAAAGGCAGTGTTGAGGTAACTTTTTAGCACCTGACAATGAAATGTTTTCATCATCAGACAGTGACACTCCACCCCCTCACCCCCTCCCCCTTTTTAATCCTTCTCATTTTTTTGCTCATCTCCTCTTGTGACCCCCCGAACTCACCAACACATCTCTCTCTCTCTCTTTTTTTTTTGTGTGTTTTCTTTTCTTCTCCTGCAGCATCACCCACGTCCAGCAGTAAAGGCTCAGACTGTCCGACGGGCTGCAATCCACGTAAGTTCGCAACTCGCAGCGTTACTGAGAAAACAGGTGTCACCTCAAGACTGACACTTTTTTTCGCCCGCTACACTATTTTGCCACACTGTTAGAGAGGAAGGCAGGACCGTTCCCTGGAGCTGCTGTCACTTGATGAATGACACTCTGCAGGACAAATTCCTCCTGTCTCATGTCTTGTCTTGTCTGTACGCTACTCACCTTGTTGAGACCCTTTCAAAAGTTTATGTGTTTCTGTTGCTGGACGTCCCAGTCATTTGGTCCTAACTGAGAGGATGCACTACTTGTGTAGCAGATTACAGTACACAGTAATGCTGTGTAGGTACCACACTGTAAAACTGGCACAGCAGTAGCACTGAAGTCGGCTTCCTGTTGGCTCACATGATGCAGTTGGTCTCATCAAATGGAAAATAACTGATTTAATACAACAACTTCCCCCGTCTTATTGTTACTTCTCTTGCATGTTTGTCTGTGCAGAGTTTGACACCAGAAGGCAGATTTCACATTTATCTGCTAAAAATGGGAATGTTTTATTTAAGTAGGTGAATTAACTAAAACAAAAAAAAAAACAAATTATTATTGAAAACAGAAATGTCTAGAGGGGATCATTAAGGCTAATCTGGAATGCCTTGTATTTAAAAATCAGTGGTTTACTCTGATGTTTATAGTCAACAGCTGCAGGCGACTTCGCATTTTATTGTTCCGTGTCACGTCCGAATGATTGAGTATATTGTGCAGCATTAAAAGCAGAACGTCAACAATAATCAAGAAATGCTAAATGATAAAATAAACAACAAGCTGGAATTTACAGCTGTTTTTTTTTTTTGTTTTTGTTTTTTTTTTTCTGGTGGTCTTTAATCCCCCGCTATCAGCCGACAAATGTTTGATCGCACTCAGAGAAAGTGAATTATTGAAACATAGATGTTAAAAGTTAGATGAACAAAGACACCAATACTAAGAACAGCAACATTTTTATCAAATCCATTATTAATCAGGAATAATAGACATAACATGTATTTGAAGTCTTTTATAATAATAATTTGTTACTAATATATTATTTTTTCTCTTTTTAGTCCCAAATAAAGAAGCAAGATTCCTGCCCGAGGTGGTGGAGCGAAGCCTTCTCTCCTTACTCTTCATTCCACTCCTAGCCCTCGTATTCCTGCTTGTGTGGAAGGTGAGCTGACCTTTGACCCCTGGCACTAAACTGTGTTAACTTCCTGAGGCGCTCCGGAGATATGTCTGTTTACTTGTGGCACTATTTTACTGTCGGGGGAGATAGAGCTTTGTTCTGTGGAATTTACAACGGGCGTCGCGGCGGCCTTTGAAATTTCTGCAGATGCTGTGCAGCCTGTGTTGATGTTGATCTGATCTGATCTGATATGTGTTGTGTTGTGTTGTGTTGTGTTGTGTTGTGTTGTGTGGTGATTTCAGCTGGTACTTTGATATTAAAAGTGATTCCCTGCAGGTCCGGTCACGGAGGAACGAGGAGGATACTCAACAGAATCCTGAAGCAGGTGAACATTTCACAGGAACAGAATGGACTGCACCTCCAGTAGATGAACCATCAGAAAAGTAAGCTTGTTGTTTTTTTTGTTTTTTTTTTGTCTTTCACATTCACTAACAGTCAGTGCAACATTTCAACAGGCAACTAGTCCCCTCTCTGTAACTCACTGTTCACACTCACATTCGATGAGTTTCTCTGAACCAAACGGCTGCAGGCAGAGGCAGAGGCTTGGACTTTGTTCAGTTTGAGGCTTGAGGATGAATTACATTTTTAGAAAGAAGTGGGCATTATGGGAAGTGTAGTATCCATCATTTTTGGAGCTTGACTGTGTAACAATAATAAACACACAGTTAAGGATGTGGTGCTGTTTGGTTTAGGCACAAAAACTGCTTAAAGATGTGTGTTGCTGACCCACCCATCCAGTCCAAACGTCCTCCAAACACGTACTTTGCCCTGTCATCTAACAATAAAATTTAACTGTACAGCATGTTGCACAGACAACCCATAAAGCTGTGTCCTTATGGGAGGACTGAACTGAGCTGAACTGAACCCCTTGAATCATTTCTTTCTTCCCTGCCATAACTTTTACTTTACATGTATGAAGCAAGTTCACAAACAAAGCAACAAAGCGAGAAAATGCGATTGACTCTCGGCGGCTTCTGACCCCAAGAGGTTAAACCGTGACGGCGAGCCTATGGACCGCTCACACATCAGCCCATCCTCACTGATCAATCAGCTGCGTACAAAGTGAAAAAGAACACTGGCGACTCTGGAATGGTGTGCTGCCTTTCACATGATGAGAATCAAAGCGCGTAATGCAGCCGAAAGCTATTCATTTTTTCCGGAACAACCACTTTTAACAGGATTCAGCAGCGACAGAAGCTCCTGCCACAGAGAATAGAAAAATGCAGAATTTTCACGGTGTGAGTGTTTATAAAAGTTTAAAGGGTTTGACCTCAGAGCCTGCTTGACTTTCTTGGAGCACAATTACTAGAAACTAAAATCTTCGAATGTGTGGTCCCCACCTGACTGGGTGCAGAATGTGAGGCTTAACTCTGGTCATGTGAAAGCCTCCCAAAACCAGCCATTTCTTCTTCTCTGGATGAGTTGTTTGTTTGTTGTTGTTGTTGTTGTTGTTGTTGTTGTTGTTGTTGTAGGACAGCGTCTAATCCTTCTGTTTCTGCTTGATTACAGAAACAAGTTGAACGTCATTTAAACAGTGTAATTCTTTTACCCTTCAATGTTCTTCAGCGTAATTGGTGAGAAATTTTTCATAGTAGAAAACTCAAAAAAATCTGAAAATATTTTTTACTGTCCCTGAGCTCTAAACCTTCTCCTCGCACTTCTCCCTCCACAGGGCTCTATTCTTTTCTCCTGTTGGTGTCCAAAGGTGATGAAAAACAAACACGAAGCTGAATTCCACGGTGAGATCTCAAGAGGTGAAAGGCCTGTTTCCGACTGCTCTCCAGATTGACAATGGCAGATTCACGATTGTTACCATGACCAAGATTTCTCCTGGTTCAATCATGCCTGCTACCGTATGGATAAGCTTTGCCTTTCTTGTAAGACTGCATTAACCAACCCCCATGCTTTTGAAAAAAAAAAAAAGACTGTGAGATTTTTTGGCAGAGAGAAAAAAAAAAAAAACAAACCCTGTACCGCACCCACACCCACCCATCCACCACCCACCCTCAACCGCATTCTCCGGCTCCTGCGAATCGTCCCATCAGAAACTTGCTGCATCATGAAACTCTTTGGGGAAAGAGGCAACAGAATGACTTATTGAGATAATTAATGACAATCACTAAAGAGGTAGGAGTGTGAACAGGGCACGCTGGCTGTGACCTTTACCATCAGGCCGCCCTGCTGCGACTAGCTGACACTGACAGAGGTGGCAGGACACAAACATCCGTTTCTGTTTGTAGTTTGAGTATTTCTATCATGTTTGTGGTCTTACATTGTACCATGTCCATTCTTGGTTTTGTGCCTTGTTTGATTAGTGTGATTGACTCCATGTGTAAATGTCAAAAGCCTGTCTATGTTTCTGTGTGGTAGCAGAAAGTGGAGAGATCATTACAGGGCAGATTAGAATAATCTCACCACAGAAACCCAACAGATATTATCCCCAATTTCTCTCTCTCTCTTTTTTCTTTTTTTCTTTTTTCTAAATAAACTCAAAACTATGACAGTTTAGTCGGCTTGACCTGTGCCCAGTTATGATTTTTGGAAGACAATTTCCTGGAAAAAGCAGTGCTTCAGTATGTGAAAACTTATCGGCGGAACAATCTGCAGTGGTTGTGACATTTCTGTCCACGCGTTACATTTTAGCCTTTGTAACCTTTTAGGAAACAGTTCAGCTGGTAACTCTGCTTGTTTCATGTGTATTTGGGACTATATGTTGGGAATTTTTATTATAGGAGACGAGAGTATATTGTGCTAAATTGAATCTGTGTTTGAGAAAAAAAAAAAAAAAAGTATACCACATTGGTGTTCATATAGTTCAGAGCAACAGTACCTTTCAGCATCAATAGCTGGAATTCTTTGGTGTGGTAAAGTATTGTTTGTTGTGTTGAACTGCAAGATAATTTTATTCATTCCAAAATGCATCTTTGAAGAACACTCCGTTTATGGCGACATATTACTGGTGCCATATTCTCTATGGCAGTTTAGATCTGAATCTGTGTTAGGAAAAAGTATACCACATTGGTGTCCATATAGTCCAAAGCAACAGTACGTTTAATAGGAATACCTGAAATTAGCGATGTATTAAAGTACTGTTTTATTAAAGCTTTTAGCCAGTTACATCCTTTCAAAAATGCATTTTTGAACAATATTGGAACATTCTATCTATGGCGGTTTAGACCTGAGACTTTATCTTCGATCATCTTTAGGTTTTTTGCTTCTCTACATGAAGACTATTACGTGCAGTGCCCAGTATTCTGACAGAGACACAGGCTAGTCTAGCCACAAAACAAACTAACAAACAAGGTATACTATGTCAAAAGTTGCTTTTTATACATAGTCAATGAATATCATGAGCTGCAACAGGTCTAAGCTGTGAAGAAAAAAAATAAAAAATAACATGGTCTCCCATTTTCCTGTCTATGCAAGAGCCACAAAACAGTCTGTATGTCTGATGCATGGATGCCACAAACCAAGCAATTTCATGCATTAGTCAAGCGAATGACTGCCCTTAAATACTGTTCCTATGTGGGGGGTTATTTGTGTGGTCTGAGAGTGAGCAGAGCTGCATCCTGAACAGTGCTTTCGGGCTCAAGTGATCCAATCCATCCCACTTCAGCGGGTGAATCAGATGGCTCTAGGCAGGAAATAAGTCTGGGTGCCAAAAAGCAAATGTAATTATTGCCCGGTTGGTATTCTGGGAGAAAACTCTACTGTATTCTGTATTTTTGTATAAATGTAAACAAACATATATGAGATATGAATAAAGTACACGTATCCAACTGTTATTTATTGGTTTCTTTGTTGTCGTGCAGGAATTTTTATCAAGCAACTGTGAGTGATTTTTCAATCTGGGCCTGTTAGCAGGGAATCAAACCCAGGGCACACTCATTTTGAAAACATTTGCTTTGGGCGGAATTGCTTCACTGCAAGACTTTAAGGTTGACAGTAATTACCCACGTGCCTCTGGGAAAAGAAATCTACAAGTTTCAAACGGCATTGTTTGCTGCCATTTAAAGGCAAACCAGTAAAACCAGTGGGGTCCCAATTTGAAAAGTACAAACACTGTTGCTTTTTAAAAAAGCACATTAACAGTCATGTTTAGTATGTCTGCCATATGTTAGCGCTAGATTGAAGGTATTTGTTTCTCGCTTTCTAAATTACATAACTAAAATATACACTGTAATTAAATTAAAGTATATCGAAGTATTAGGAGCAATTTTTACTAAGGTCCTGTAATAAGAGATTAGAGACCTTTCACTCTGATACCAAAACACATGTGTCCAAGAAAAGCTTGTGCGCCTCAACAATGTGCTTTATAAGGTCATCCAGGTGTCCACTTGACTGCTTTTTATAGGTAGATTCATGTTCTTAAGTTGTCAGATTGTATGACTTTTATTACACTGAGCTCCAAGGATAACTTGGGAAAAAGCGGCCTAGAATGATGTGTTGTGTGTCAGGTTGATAAGATATAAATAAATAAAAAAGTCCTTTCTAAAAATCTGGTAAATCACATCACTTCCCTTGAAGGTTCCAGCTCTCCCAGAAGGGTTTAACTATAAAATTAAATTCTTTATATCTACTTCATGCCCATATTTTATTAAAGCAAGGACACCAGAGGGAGTATGTACTTGGCCTCTGGCCTTCTGTGTATGGCCACTCCACATCTCTCATACTTTAGTGTGACCTTGAGTATGTTATTCTTTCTATGCAACATTTAGCACAGTCAGCATAAACACACACAGATTACACACAGAAGCTTAAATTTACACATACCGAATGGTAAAATTGCTCAAACATTTTTTCTTTTTTACTGTCAGTTCTGGTGTATTTACCTGTGTGAACAGTCTGTTATATCACTTCAACGATTTCATGGATAGAGAAGCTTTTTCCTTGAAAGGGATAACACTAACCCTGACCCTAGAGCTGCACCCAACAAAAATGTTTTGGTTTATGTTTAACAAACCATGAAGGAATTATTACAAATCCAGAATTATTAAGATGTATATCACTGAACAATTTCAGTTGTTCACTACTTGATTCATTTACAATAAACCTCACAAAGCCTGCTGTTTGTTGTGGTCAACCCCCACTACACCTGATTGGACGAACATCCCACTTGCTAAGCTGTAATCGGTCTTTGTGTCCAATTTTCAAACTGAGAAAACATAGCTATCTAAAAAAAATCCCTCTGTGCTATCTACCAAAACCATTTCTGAGTAGATTATGCTCATTAGTTAGACTGGCTTTGTTAAAGTGAAACCTGTTCTTAGAAAAGCTTCAGGACATCAACGATCCTGATTACTTTGATTGTATTCACATAAATTTCGTAACAACCTCATGGGCGTGATGATAAACCGTTTATCATCATCTCTTGACAATGTACCAACCAAACTTCTCTTAGAGGAGTTCCTGAATAATAGGTCTTCCTCTCCTCTTGATTGTCAACCGCTCTGTCTAATACTGTATTTCTTTCTTTTCATTTATAAACCCATTTATCCCATTTGAGGAATGTTAATGGTCAACCATGGAAACCTTTTAATGGGTTGGTATTTCAAGGGCTGGTCCAGACTGGTTCCTTGGGTATTGGACTAACAGAAAAGTAACTGTGTCCATTTCTCTGCAAACTTATTGATCAACTTTGGTGTCCCACAAGGCTCAATTATTGGGCCTGTATGTATGTATTTTCTGGAATTAGGCTCTGATTGAACAATACAAATTTTATTCATTAGTTCTTTTTCTATCCTGAATTTCAAAGTTATAAAGATTATGTTATGTTATTATTTTTAGATGTATGACCAATGCATGCCTCTACATACTTGCTAGTACCCGTGATAATACAATGAAATTAATGAGTTTTCAATAAGGTTTCAGAGCCATTAAATGGGAGAACAGAGGATGCAATTATTACCAAAATGGTCCAAAAAGTGTTGGTTATTTTGAGCAGATGCATATTGGAATAAAATCTAGTAAAAAAAAAAAGTGTTTTGTCATAGATGTTTGTCAAGTACTGATCATTTAATGCCACATTGATTTTTCATGCCATTACAGAACAGATTTGATGTACTGGAAGTTTTTGTTTGGAGAAAATCTCTACTACGAGGTCTTTTTTGATACTACCACTCGAGTTGTTGACATCAAAAATGAAATTTTCAATGGCTTGAGTATATTTTGCACAGACACTGTGTAAAATCCATCAGCTAAATATTCACACATAAGCACTTACATGTTTGTTTTGCTTGGCCAGAGGTTTGGGATTTCCATAAAATCTGCTTATCAAGAGTTTTGTGGACGCCAAGGACATACATCATGGAGACCAATGTTATGATTTCATCTTTGCTATCAGGAAACAACAGGAAGGCCATGAAAAGTCTATTGTTCATAGACATTTTACTGTACAACAAATGTGCAATTGTGTCACTGTGCATAGGCATACTGGAGCACGATTTAAAGTGCTTTAAGACATGGCATAAACAAGTCATCTGACCTCAGTCAGTAGCATGTATATAGAGGACATGAGGCTCAGCTGTTTCCCAGGGTCACAAAAGTCTCTTCCATCATGTTTAAGAAATCTCACAGGACAATAGATGGATGATACGTTCAAAGGGCACTCCCATGACTGAGAGTGATTCCATAGCCCTATAAATAATTATATCCTGGCTGATATCAAGCTCTATGACTTCAAGCCCTTGAACGTAGACTTTAGGTTTTTCCCCTGATGCTGTAAGAGGAAGTTGATAAAAGAGTCTGAGATCAGGATTTCAATGAAACAGAACAAGGAAGCATGGTTAAAAGAAAAAAACATTAAAAAAAAAAGAAAACAACCTCAGTCTAGAGTGATTACAAGTACTGGATGATACAGTAGATTATATCACCCAGAATATGTGAGAAAAAATGTTTGGCAGAAGAAAGACGAGTCATGAGTCAGTCCCCGTGGCAGCAGGTGTGTCAAAGCAGTTGTATGAACATGAATCAAGGCAGCATTAAAAAGCACACATGCACGCGGAGTAAAATCCTTCCCTTGATAAAAATGAAAACGTTATTAGCACTTTACAATCCTCTGAGTCTGAGGGGACAAAGTTGGCGAGCACAGTAGACAGGACCCCAGGGATACTGGAGATTGTATGGGGCATATCATATCCATAGCTCATTGCTGATTGAGGGCATCACTTCTGTGCAGGAAATGACCTAAGTCCCCAGGCAGCCTCCATAGAAGTGGTTCTCTGGCTTTCGTAAACATGGCCTTGAGGACTCTCTGCCGACACCATCTTTCATAACCACCGTGGTTTCTACCTCACAGCCAGGAGCTTCCGCTTTCCCATCCTTCCCCTCAGACGGCTCCCAGCTGCACAAACTGATGAAGGAAGAGCATTTAGCAACCAGACCTTTTTTTGTTTTCGTGACTGTAAGCCAGCTGAACTTGGACCACAGTGTGCTGGCTCTTTGTGCGAGTGCACTTGATGGATCAGTCCCTTATGTACCCATGAATGCGACTTGGATATGTGATCAAAAAGGGTTTTGTTTTCTATTTTTGAAAAATTTGTTTTCAGTTGTGCTTTGTCTCAGGCGAAGACAAATGTGCTTCAGTGTTTCTTCACTAATTCTGGTTTAGATAACAGTTCAGAAATTAATTGAGAGTAAACAACTCTATCTGACAAAAAGAAGTTCAAGTGGAGTCACATTTGGAAAGGGATTTAACTGTGGTTCTTGTCCAGAAATAACAATGCGTGCAACTGTAGAGTGATAGCAACAGCTTGAAAGCCTTTACTGCCAACATTACGAGCCAACGGATAGTAAACACAATGAGACAACATCACACCACTCAGACAACAGCTCAAATGTTTGTTCCTGGAGTAATCATGTAGACTATAATACAGAAATACTTAATGAAAAAAGGATTTGGGTCAGTATTCCCACTGAAGAACTACATCAAATTTGGGGGAATGTGGCCCAGTATCTGTCAACATCTGTCATAGCTGATGTGAAAGAAGCTCAGAGAGAAGCCGAATTTAAAGGCCCTGAAAACTTAATTTCTCAATCAGCTTCTTACTACGACTAATGGGATCCTACATAAACATGAAGTTGTCTGCCAAAGTTAAAATAGTTTTGGCTGTTTTACATGAGTAAACTGTTTTTCTTTTTTTCTTTCTCTGTGCGCCCTTCACAGATGTGTGAAGTGGGTGGGATGGAAAAAGGTAATGCAACGCACTTCCGAATCAATATCGGATGACGGTTGGTTGGTTGTTTGGTCGCTGTCAATCATATCTGATTGAACCAATTAATAGCCACTCACTAAAGATATTTTTTAAACTTTGAGCGTTGCTTATTTATTCATGAATTGTTGTCATAGAAACTTGGCCAGAGGTTTGGGATTTCCATAAAAGATTTGAAGCCTAGTTTTTGAAGCTGTAAAATGAATTTCGCTTTCAATTCATTAGCATGCAAAATAGTGCACTGACAAAAAATCTTAAACTTTATTTATTCTTGACCATGGAAACAGTAGTTTAACAAAAACCATCTAGACTCAAGGTCAACTTACTAGCTTTTTCTGGCAAATAAAAGTAGAAAGCTCTGAAAAAAGCTACCAAGTGGACTTAGCTAGCTACTAAGTGATTGAGTTAATATTCTTTGTCTAACCCCTTCTCTGTTGGTCATAACTACTCTATCCCAGGTTATTTATCAGCTAGCATGACAAACTGATAGCACACGTTAGCTAACAAGCTCAAGAAAGATGAGCATGACACAACTGTTGCTGCATCATACTGAGACTGTGGAGGGACATATTTAT